TCAATTACTGGCTCCTTATTGGGTTACAGAGGCTAAAATCTTTTTAATTTTGTCTTCAGCCGGACTTGAACCATTGACCTTGACTGTGGGGGCATGGGAGCTTAACCGCTAAGCTATGGGACTCATACCTAATTCAAAATTTGATATAAATTCAACTATCAAATTTTAATATTATAAAAATTAGTTAATAAAATTCAATCTATATTAATTTAACTTATAAAATTAGATTAATCTAATTATTAAAATTTTGTTCACATCAGTGAATTGAGAACTAATTTATAATATATAATCATGTAATAATTATAAAGGACCTTTATTATTGAATTAATAGTTTGAATTTGCTGCAGTATATCTAAAAAAAAGAAAATAATAGATATTAGAGTATTAGTAAAATAAGATAACTACTAATTGAAGAAATAATTATTCTAAATTGCTTATAATGCATAATTATATAATGATTATAAAGGTTCTTTATAATTGGATTATTAGATTTGAATCTGCTATAGTATATCTAAAGAAAAAAATTAATTACTAATTATAAATTGGCTCATTAATATTAATACAAGCTGAATGATATTTAATCTAAGCCAAATAATATTTAATGCAGGCCAGATTATATGCTAATGCAGGCCAAATAATCTTATTAAAAATTCTGTGTATGACCAATTAGAATAAAATCATCATCCAAAAAAGTTTCAAAAGTTATGTAATATTGTCAATTCTAGATCAACTTACTAAATTCTGAAAAATTTAGCAAAAATTAATTAGCTAAATATTTGTCAATTTGTTAAGTTCATCAGAACTTATAAAGTTAACAAATATTCAGCTAGTTAATTTTTGCTAAATTTTTCAGAATATATGAAAACAGCTTAGATTTTGCCTAGCCTATCAATATATAATCTAAAAATTTAATATTTTAAAATTGACATAATGATAACTGATTTATGTAAGCAATTAATTACTATGTACATTATTATTATGCAATTATATTTTGAATAATATAGTCAATTTGTAATATATTAAATTCTGAAATTTTGTCATTACTAAAAGTATATAATATATAAAAAAAAATTATTCAGAATAATTTATGAATTTGAATAGTCACTAATAGCTTATTTATGATTTATTTTTAAATTATTATGACATTATACTTTTCTATAGTAACAGTAATAATGATAGCCAAAATTTAATCTTATAGTAAAAACTATACTTATATTATATTTTTTTATAGTAACAGAAATGACATTAGTTAAAATTAAACTCATAATAAGATTTATACTTACAAGTCTATATTATTTGATTACTAATTTTTAAATTTATTTTTTTTTAATATATTTATAAAGCAATTAGGTGAGTGCATAGTAAAACTATTTTTTCAACTAATTATAGATGAACTAAAAAAATTTGTTTGTAAATTGTACTTTGATGATGATAATTTAATTTTTGTGAAATGTAAAGATCCTAATATTTGCAAAATATGTAGCTTGAAATTTTTTCTAATTTTTTGCAATTAGTAATTTTACTTAACTGCAAGCACTTTTTTTACTAAAAGTATATTATGAAATATAATTGTTGTTCTTGCAAATATAAAGACTATAAAATACTAAATCAATATATTAAAATATCAACTCTATATTGTCTTGAAAAAATATTAAACATACCATCTTTTTAAGCACAAGCTGATAAACTACAAGTACAAGCTGATAAACTACAAATACAAGCTGATAAACTATAAGCACAAGCTGATAAATAACAAGCACAAGCCAATAAAAAGGTGCAATTCAATGAACTACAAGCACAAGATAATAATGCACAAGAGCAAATTAATGAACAAGAGCAAATTAATAAACAAATGCAAGTTAATAAACTACACATGCAAGTGTGTAGGCAAGCACAAAGCAGGCAAGCACAAAGTAGGCAAGCACAAAGCAGGCATGCACAAGGTGGGCAAGCACAAAGTTGGCAAGTACAAGATAAGCAAGCACAAGGTTGGCAAGCACAAGGTGGGTAAGCACAAGATGAACAAGCACAAAGTTGGCAAGCACAAGATGGGCAAGCACAAGGCAGGCAAGCACATGATAGGCAAGTACAAAGTAAACAAACACAAGGTGGACAAGTAAAAGTAGACAAGCACAAGGTGAACAAGCAAATAATGGACAAACATAAGGTAAACAAGTGCATGGCAGACAAGCAGAAGTCAATAGACAAACTAATAAACAGATTAGCATTATTAAAATTTATTATACAGTGTTATATAATATTTATATTATGAAATATATATTAAAAATTAATTTTGATTTAGGAAAATAAGTTTGCAAATAATGTATTAAAACTTCTATTAATATTATCAAAAAGGCCATATAGGTTAAAAGTACCAAAAAAAATAACAGAAGTTGTCAAGGTTCTAATTACTTTTAATAAAACAAAAGATAGTTTAATTGAAGCCTACAAACTAATAGATCAAATTTTAGTTAACTTATTTAATATTGCAAAACAAGCTAAAAAGCAATCTAAAAAGTTTAATTCAATAAAAATTAGAAAATAGTATGATTATGCTAAAACTTTCAAAAATTGAGTAAGAGAATTAATAAGTGAGGGCATAAAGGATAGAGCAGCTTGTATACAAATATATAACACAATATTACCTTATATGAGTCATCAAATAACAATAGGCAATTTTCATCAAATAATGCATAGGGCATGAAATAGATTTAATATATTTAGTGAAGTTGGCATTAGAGCAATTGACCAAGTCAGATGTTTTACAGCAAATTATTTTTCAAAATACAACAATAATAATATTAAAAGAATTGTTGAACACATAAAGTGTAAAAGAGTTAGCTAAATTATATAATCAAAATTAATATATATTTTATATAATTGCAATTAAATAAATTGAATTAGCATAACAAATAATTAGTAATAAATTAAAGTAATAGATTAAAGTAATAGATAATAAGTAATAATAATATTTTGGCTTATTAGAGATTAGTAAGTTTTTTTTTAGATTACATTATAGTTATTATCATAAATTCTAGAACATCTGCTCATTATCTAAAATCTTTTTGGTTACTAAATAAATTACTTAACTCTTTAGTCCAGATGTAGTAATTTTTAGAGTTAGGTAAATTACTGAACAATTAAAAAAATTTTAAGTAATAAGCAAATGTTCCAGAATTTATAATAATAAATGTAACAATAATTTATATTGCTATTAATTAGCTATATAAGTAGCTATCAAGTGATAGTATAAATTATTATTAACACAATCTAGAAAAAAACCAAAATATTATTAATTGTTATAGATAATCATGAAATTAAATAGTGCTAAGATCTACTCCTACTAACTTACCTACACCAATTTTCCAAACTTATATTAATATTTCTCATGTTAAATCATTAAAAAAGAATAACAACTACTTACTTTACATTGATAATCATGAAATTCATGCACTTAT